TTCGTTGAACACCATCATTTATTATTGTCGGAATGTTTGATTATTATTTGCATTTTTCCACAAATACGTTTTAAAATTTTACTTATATCGAATATTCTCCAAATGATTTTTAATGAAATATTTGAGCTTCACATCATATTTATAGTATGATTAGCATAGGACTACCATTTCCTATAAATGTTACACTTTGCCTTCTGTCATCATCGCTATATGCTATTACTAAAAATAATTGTGTTTTTTTTCGCATTTTTGACTTGGCTTCCAGTTCGCAGAGATCGGCGTTGTTCTGAGGCTGTCCACCCCGTCACACATGGCCCCCTAAATTGTAGTTTTGCCTCAGCAACAATTTCAGCTGTGAGGGGTAATTTCTCTCTTCGCATTTCTCTCTAGGTTCTTCATTTGTGAGTGGTCGTGACATGATATGCTAGAATTGGTCTAATACATTAGCGTTACGCTTCACATAGCATAACTGTGGTCGCAGCAGGAGAGAAGACGGCGTAAATTTTAAGACATTTGCACGTCAACAAAAGGTCATAATTGGCCAATTTTATGTCGCCATCCTCTAGTAGGTTTTTGCGACCTAGACGTGTAAGATGAAACTATCTCAGGTCACAATAGCGACTTATTTCTCTGAGTAAAAGGACTAAACAAGACTGGGGTGACCGGGACAAAAGATAATGGACGGTCTCACAACGCCCGGCTATATTTACAACAATATTTCTCTACAGCTACTACAGCAGTCTATGTTAAATTGGCGCTCAGGAAGACGTTTTTCGATGAACAATATTCCCACAAAAGATGTGATTTAGCGTTACAGGCCACATTTTAAAACGACGCCTGGGCACAGCTTTGATTAAATAAGTTGTTACAATCTAAGTCTTCCGGGTGATTCTTCTAGAAGTGAATTTTGTAGACTGTTATTTGAACTTCACATTTATGAATAGAGGGTAAAGAGAAATTAAATGATAAGAAATGTATTGAAAGGGCGCCATTTGTCTTTCGTTAACACCTGTCAGCCATTTTCCACCAAGATACACATTTCAAAGATCAGAGCTGTTTACGATGTAACATTGATAACGTTCTAACTTCTTTTTACCCCGGGGGCCCCAGTCCATGCTGAAGACCCCGCATAGTTCAGTATTTTCTGTCTACGAAAAATGACAAGTGAAAAGATAAAGCACAAGGGTTACACTGCTGAAATACAGAAATCTGTATCAAGAAGTGTGTTTTAGTTGTGGCATCGTATAAAGTAATGATAATGATTAACTTCCCGATGACTGATTTCGTTCAGTTCAGACATTTCAGAGTCAGAGAGACACAAGGCACTCGAGGATTTTCAAGTTTAGTACGCGAAAGTTTGTTAATGCCCCCGTCACATTGTCGACGAGCCTCGGTCGTATTTGTCAATCGCCGAAAGATCGGCCGATTTTAAGATCGACCGACGATCGCGCGTATGTTTGGCTTGGAAATCGTCGCTGTCACAATTGTGCGAGGCTCGGGCGATCGCTTGGCAATACATCTATGATTATGAAGTCCCTATGACATGGCACGCAGATAAAATAAGGCCGTGTATCCACCAAAAATGAATAGTTTGACCAATTTTTATGTTTGACCTGTCGTTATATTTTTTAAGCACAGTACTGGAGCGGACTGGCAGAATAAAATAGAAATACAAACAGGAATTCTGTGAAGGATCCAACTCAAATACTACCACAAGAGCCACAAATTTACACCACCTTTTTAACAATACAGGAGTCGGCCGATGCTCGCTCGACACGCGGGCGTACGTCGCCCGTGTTACGGTCGACGATCTATCGATGCTCGCACGATCTCTAGACCATTCAACCAAAACGTACAACAAAACATAATGATTATCATTATATCAAAACCTTTTTATACACGCGTATCTGAACAAAACTAAAACGTTGCCTGAATACTTCTGTCTAAAATAGTATGAATCTTCCGGTAAACAAGTTAGCCATTCAATGTCAACAAAGTAGACAGAGGTAAAAAGACCCATGCAATATAAACTTCAACTGCATCTATCACATGACGTTCTTGTGGGCACCCTAAGAAAAAAGTCAACCTCATTCCAGAATGAACAAGTGTAATCGTCAGTTTATTATACAATCATCTGAAATAAGGCCACACACCTCCTAAAGGGACAAGAGTAAAGGAATCCATGTGCGTTCAATCAGTTGAGGTCAAAATCTTAGCATTTGGCCTTATATAGTTAAAACCTCGTCATCTTTTTAAAGTGGTTTTGTTTATTAACGAATGTTGATTAAACAAAAGGACAAAAAGGACGATTTTTGTCTATTTTTATCCTTTTTCGTAAACATAACTTTAACAATCAATGGGACGTTGCTCCTGCAAACTTTACACAGTATACTGTCAATGCAATCTCAAATAAATGTCACAGGTGCTGAATAAATAATAACTTCACAGGAGCTCGGCCGGGGCTCGTAGAACCTTCGTCCGACACTGGCACGAAGCTCGCTCGAAGCACACACGATTTTAAAAACTTTGCGCAAGTCGGGCGAGGTACGGAAGAGGGTCGCCCGAATATTTCGCGAAGCACGAGAGGGTCGACCGTATTCAGCGACCGTCGCCCGATTATCAAAGACGAAATACGGCAGAGACTCGTCGGATGTACGTCCGAATATCGGTCGACTCTCGGCCGCACAGGGGCGAGCTACGGGCGAGCTACGCGCATGCTGGAAACGACCTCTGCGACCTCAAAAAATCGCCGTCGACTAGTCGCTGATGTTAAGAACACGTTTCGCGTGTCAGCGTGTCGCGTTTAAGACATTTGCACGTCAACAAAAGGTCATAATTGACCGTGGTTGAAACTGTTCACCTAGCCCAAGCAAGCGACGTTTGTTTCAGTTGACAAGTTAGCTTTCGTTAGCCCGTTGTGTGGATATTGATGGTCTGCTTGGGATTACAGCAGATAATGGGCGCCAATGCGTCAAAAAATTACAATAAGTAGCCCCATAAACTTGGAACTTTACAGATGGAAAGAAGACAACAGCTTCTCAAGTTATCAGATATTTTGAAATTCTATGGTCCCGAATCGTATTGAGGACATGATTTCAGGATAGTGTTAAAAGCCCTTTTCTCAGTTTTAAACCGGCCAGTATTTTACCCTGGGTAAAAACAATAAGGAAGTGCTCCCACTGTGACCTTCCCAGCAGATTGAATAGTGAATTGGCCCATAAACTCATAAAAATCCTAGACTGTCTATCCTTCAGAACAAAGGCAGGAGCATTTGCATACTGGTCAGTTTTCAAAGATTCAAATTTTTTATCATCTACTGGTTTTCAGTGTAACATTTTCAAAAGGCAGAATGACCCAGATACTTGTTACGAAGCCACATAAGCAAGGAAATCGCAACTTTCAGTTCGAAAAATCAATCTTGAACAAATTCCAACTTTCAAATCAGCCCTGTCAAAGTTTTATCCAATGACATACATGCACATGTATATGGCGCCCTTACTATATACATGTAATACCCTTCCTTGCTATATCAAACTTTCAAAGTGTCTACTTGTATCTGTCTTTCTCACAACTGAATTAGCTTTGGCAGTTTTGTGTCTGACATATGGCTTGTAAATGTGATGCCTACTTGCAGTCAGATAAACCTGTATGGACTTAGGCTCTGTGTATGTAGAACTGGGCATGTAACTGTCAACCAAGGTCTCAAGCTACAAGTCAGAATATGGCAAGCCAGTATACTTCATATTTCTGGATACTCGTGAATATAGCTTCTTATATATGTGTGTGTGTCTCATATTAAAGTGTCTTGAAGAGAAATTTTTACTTGGCAAGCTAAACTGTCTTAGACAGGCCTCCCCCATGTACACTGCGCGGCTGCCAGAACAAGACTGAAGTCTGGTAGTTTATGTTATCGAATTTATATCGGCAGGGTGGGGTCATTATATAGTATTACTGGCCTCTTTAACATCAGAAAATATCAGCCTTTTTCTCAAGACGGCTGTCATGTTTGCCTGTTGGCTGACTTGTCCGATTCTTACTTCTCAGTTTGTATTCTGTCTCTCTTGCTTTATTGCTCCAAGGCTTTTTTGGCTTGCTCTTCTGACGGATGTATACTAATTGATTTTCTTAAAATTTCTCTGAGTGCATAGTGTAAGATACATCTATACTGTAGCATCCAAGCTCAGAGAAATTCCCTCAAAAGGCGTTCCCTTTTTCCCATCCAACCAACCGTGATTGATTATTATCAACAATAGCTTCTCAGAGCGGGGACAATTCACTCGACCGTGACTAAAACTGTCACATGTCAAGACGCGCACCCGACACAAAGGACTAATTTGAATGACAAACGGCCAATTATCTTGGTAACGCTCCCGGTGTTCACCCTATGTATACCGGCCCGGCACGTAAAAATAAACATTTGGCACGCCGCCATCGGTGATAGGACCCATGGTAGACTTGGAGATTTCGCAACAAGTATCTGTCTTTGAGGTAAGAACATAACCATGTCAATTCCTTGTCTTGTATCCCAAACATTCTAAGCTTAGCCAGGAGGATCTTATGGCTTACCGTATCAAAAGCTTTCTTGAGATCAAGAAAGATTGCTCCGGTAACAAGACCCTTCTCCATATTGTCTATGATGGAGTCAGTGACATGTGTGAGTGTTGTTGTGGTAGAATGTTTGGGTCTAAACCCAGACTGGAACTTGTTAAGTATGTTATGGTCCTTACAATATGCATATATCTGAGTATGTACAGCCTTCTCAAAAATCTTCATAAATGATGGTATAACGGAGATCGGTCTGTAATTATTACAGCTGCTCTTGTCACCTTCTTTAAATAAGGGGGTGACTTTGGCTCTCTTCCAGTCCCTCGGGACTTCACCTGAAGAGAGAGATAGGTTATAGATGTATGTGAGAGGACCTGCTATAGCCGGGGCAGCATACCGTATGAGTCTACTGCTCACCCCATCCAATCCAGTACTTTTACCCAGAGGTATACTCATCAGTTGCTTAAGAGTGAACTCAGTGGAGATATTTTCGAATTCAAAGGAAAACTGTGCCGGTCCTGAGACCGTTCTGTATATACCCGCAAAAGCTGCAGCCAGTTTAGAGCCAATTGAGGTAAAGTATGTATTGAATTCATTCGCAGTGTTTTTTTCTTCTTGTTTAGGAACATTGACATGTTGTTTGGCTTGACGTGATGGCAAAAGGGTCTTAAGTGTGGCCCAAAGACCTTTACTGTCACTGCCTTTAGTTTCGATTTCATTGCAGTAATACTGTTTTTTAAATATCGTGCCATGTTGTTACATTTGTTTCGTGCCTTTTTAGCTGTCTCCCACATAGATGGGTGTTTTGTTTTCTTAGCCTTATCAAAGTAAAAATCTCTTTCACGCGCCATGGACAGATACTCTTGCGTTATCCAAGGTGGTTCATGGCCTCTGATACGGACAGATACCCATGGGGCATGTTTATCACAAATTTCAGTGAGCATTGTCTGAAAACTACTAAGTGCATCATCAATATTAGTGCATTCCTCAACTGTGGACCAGGGTGCGCTGTGAAGATCTTGTTGAAAAGCTGTTTCGTCAAACCGCCGGTAGGATCTCACCGTTGCCGTCCTAGGGTTTCCCGAAGGTCGCTTAGCTTTCCTTACAGCGTAAGTGAAACAGTGATCACTCAGTCCAGTAGAACATACACCAGATTCTGACACCTTTTCAGGTAAGGTTGCTATAATGATATCGATACAAGTGGATGAGTTCTCATTTACACGGGTCGGTTCATCTATGAGTTGTTTTGCTTGAAAGGTGCTACAGATCTTATCGATTTTCTTACAGGATCTACTTTTAAATACATCACAGTTGAGGTCGCCAAGTAAGAAAACCTCATCAGAAATAGCTGTGGCGGCGGTCATGGCCGTTTCCAAGTTTTCAAAAAATTCTGTAGTTGAATTTGGTGGGCGGTAGACCGAACCAATAACAATAGGCTTGCCGACATTGTGCTTTACTTCCACCCAAACACCTTCGATATCTAACTCGGTAAGTTCTGTTATCAGTTTATGCTGTAAATTGTCGGTCACATAACATGCCACACCGACGCCTTGCCGGTTTCTGTCCTTGCGATACAGTGTGTAATTTGGTATATACAGTTCATTGTCATCTATACTAGGATCTAACCAGGTTTCGTTCAGAGTTAATATGTCGACAGGGTTATTAATCAATGCTGCTCTAATTTCATCAAGTTTTGGTAAGAGGCTACGGATGTTTAGATGTATCATTTTAACACCTTTCTTTACTCTCAAACAAGGACTGCCAGTTTGTGCTGTCACCATTCTGGTTAGGACCAGGATTATAGGCTACATCGCCGGACAGTAGAAGTAATGTGTGAAGACAAAGGTGTACTAGATTAACACTGGATTTTACACGAGTAGTATTCTTACTTCTAGTTACATTTCCAGTTGGGTACAGTAGTGACAGTGCGTAGTCTCCTTGCGAGGCTGCAGTGAAGTGAGACCTATAACAGTGTTCTTGTTTGAATACTTCGCAAGGATTGGATTGGGTAGTGACATGTTTCAGGTTTATAACGGGGTTGGTAAACTGGAGGAATAAAGCGGTAAGTACTGCCAGCTGGACAGTTAAACAGCCTGCCATGCTTATTTATTTCACAAATGACACTTTGTGGTTACTTCCACTACACCAGTCCTGGTTTCTCAACCCACTTATTTGGCAATCATGAGCAGTCATCAACAATACATAAAATGTAGTAGGTAGCAACAAATATCAAAAGCTATATACATTTCCTGGCTCAGAATCATAAACTGTAGACAAATTTACATCCAATACGTTTCGAGAGAATATGCACAACAAGAAACATCAATAAACTCTTACGCATCTACGTTAAACAGAATAGGTAAGTGTCTACTCACGTCACTATCGCAGGCCGCCCTCCCCTTCAAGCTTCTCCCGGCAGACCAGACAGGAAAAATTTCACCTTTTACGGACCAAGTTACCCTAGAAGGGGGAGGACTAGACACATGCACGCCTCAGTAAAGTCTTGAGTCGGAAGGGGTCCAGTGTCGGTAAATTTGAGATGAAAATAAGCTGGTTGCCGCTGAGACCATGAAAAGGCTGGCCACCTCTCTGACCTCTGACCTACGTGGATATCTCGTAGGATTTATCGGGACGCCTATCCGAAAATTCCGCATCCCGATGATGCATATCCCATGAAGTTATTTCTCTAAATATGATAAAGACAATTTGACAAATAGGAAATTGACAAAAGAAATAAAGTTCGGGCTTCAATGTACTAGTATATAATGAAATATGTGAACGCCTGGTTTCACTAAATTTATTAGTTGAGTCTTCATTATTTTATTTCCAATATGTGCCCGCCGAATTTCGCGCTTGTGAATTATTTCTCAGCGGTTATATCATACTTGCAATACGTCTGAAGTAATATTTAGTTTTTCATTTTATCAACCTCTTAGTGAATATACATGCTTCCCAATGCAGATATTCAGCATTTACAATTTTCTCATAATGTTATGTACATGAATGTACACGTTCAAGGAGATGTATGATTGCATTGTAATTCTTTCATTGCATACAGACAACAGTGTTTTCTGTATTAGAAAATTGGTCTGCTGTAAAATTTTGCAGGCTCTAATTACGAAAATATCTGCGATTTTTAGGTATTTGGAGAAGAAGAGGAAATCGAGTAAAAACAATATGTTTACCATTTCTTCGGTAAACATAACTAGAATACAATTTTGTTATACCCGGACTCCATTCCAGTATGACGGCGCCCTCGTCGCGCTAACGCTGCGAGCTGAAATCAGCCAGAGCGCGGAGAGAGCGCCGAACTCCACGAAAAACGTACTCAAGTGGAATCTCTCCGCCCCCTCAGGAATAGGGGGTATAACGTTGTGGCGTTGTCATACATGTCGCTCTCACGGCGCTCTCTCTGTTGGACGCCCTCTTTGGCGCTCTCACGGCGTCGGTATGAGCCGGCTCAAAACAGTAGCCCGCGCCCATTGCCACTATGTTATGTTATTAGTTATAACGTCACGGGTCACGTGATGCCCGTCCCTGAGCCCGTGTGCTCATAGGTTGTGTATTCCCTCCATGGTCAGTCTTAACCCTACCTAGACCGGGCTTTTTTTGACATGGGGGGACCGGGGGGGG